TCAAACTAAAACACAGAGCTCTTCTGGCTGTTAAAAAGCAGAGCTGACTCTGTCCCAGCTGAAGCCAGGACAGTAGTTACAAGGGCTCTTGCCTGCTTGCAGGGCTCTGGAACAGCTGAACTACACTGGGTCTAAACTCACTGTTGGGGTCTGATGAGGGACGCGCTTCTGCTGAGAGCTGGAGAGGAGATGGGTGGCTCTGGCATCTCCCAGAGCCCTTGGTGAGGATGCTCTGTAACGCGATGGCTTGACAGTGTAGTGCACAGACCCACTGAGCTGGAGGTGCAGAGCAGCAGGAGCAGAGCTGTGCGGGGAGGAGCAGGGCTGCTGGAGGTCATGGACCTTGGCCTCAGTGACAAGGTGATGGGGCGGGAACGCTACGGGAACAGGGAGCTTGTCCCTCCCATCCTGCTGCTCTCGCAGCCTGCCTGCAAACGCTGCTCAGCATCACCGGCGCTGTCACCTCCTAGAAAAAGTGCTCCTCATCCCACAGAAGGCCCATGTCCCCTCAGATGACCACCCATCCAACTGTCCACCTCAGCACACAGCATTATGCTCGCAGGCACAGCTATCTGATTGCTGCCCAGACTTTCAAGCTTCCTCCATCTCGGCCATGCCTCTGTGCTTGTACTAGAGCAAATTGCACAGGGCAGCTCTCCTCCTCAGCAATCACAAGGCCTCTGAACAGTGTCATATAGACACTGTGGGACTGGGCACAGCTCACCCCACTGGGCTCCTTCGTGAGGGTAATGCTGGAGCATGAGTGGGAAGACACTGCCTCCTGCAGAGGCAAGAAGGGAGTCAGAGAAACACTCATCACTGACATGGGGGGGGTCCCACCTGGCGCAGACGCTGCCCACTCACACACCTGGTGTCTTGGTCCTGGCACTCCCCGCTGTCTCCTCCAGCCAGGAAGAGCTGGTCCAGCAATGGGATCGGACATGGCATCTCCCTCATGTGCCCCTATGTCCCTCCTGAACCATACCCATCCGGAGAGCCATGGTGGGTACATGGACATGGCAGTGGGAGGTGAAGCAGTTGACTGGTGGCTTTGTAACTGCCCTTGGCTGCAACAAAGCTGTCTTGCTCTAAAGGAACAGCTTAAATAAGCCCCAAAATGGGGAAGATATTTGATGTGGTGCAATGCAGGCTCAGAAAAAACTTCTGACTTTCTCCCCTTTTCTATTAGATGATTTCAAACTCGTTACTGAGGGGGCTGTCCGCATTCGCCACAGGGTGGGAGATGCAGGTCTTAGGTGGGATGTGATTTTTATGCAAATTTGTCCAAAACTCAGAGGGTTGAATGAAATATCTGGAAGAAGGGATTTAGGGAAACCTCCCCTGGGTCACAGTGGAAAGCTCTGACTCTGATAAAGTAACTCCAAGGAGACGTCTGCAAAACCCAGACACACTCATCTCCTGAGAAACAGTCTCAACCTGTCTGTGAATCTTGGCCTGAGAAGATAAACGTGTGGTTCCCAAATAGTCTCTGGGGCTGTTTTCTGGCCCTCAGTTTGAGGACAGCCAGGGACCCACACTGACTGGGAGCTCCTGGATGGAGACAGGGAAAGAAGAGGAGCATCTCAGAGAGGCTGCTTGGGCAGCGATTCCCTGGATGACGGAGCCTGCCTGAGGTCACTCCCGTGCCACCTGAGTGTCTCCTTGCCCCAGTGAACTCTGCTGTTGTCTTCAGGCAGCTCCATGACACACCTGGCCGTTGTGCAACGACCATGAAATGAAGCTAAAAATAGCTCCCTCTCCTCCCAGGAAAACACCTGGCTGCTTTGTGCCAGGGCCGGGCGGGCGCCGGGTGCCAGCGCCTGCCAGGAGCTGCGTTGCTCCGGGCGGGCGCGGAGCGCACCGCGGGCTCCCTCCTCCGAGCTGACTTTGGTATCGTTTTAATGTAACTCCCGAAATGCCGACAGAGAGGCTCCGCTTAGGAAGGAGACATTGCTTTCTTCATAGGGTGCAGAATCGGACACTCAGGGAAGTTCCCAACCCGAGCGCGAAATGGAACAGAAAACTTCAGGGATTTACACACGGAGATTTGCCCGTCTTGCTTGCGGGGCACATCCATCACACTGAGCCCCGCTGATCTCCCACATTTGCATAGTGCTGGTGTTGCAAAACCATCCTAGGTGTGCACGGGGGTCTTGGGTGATTGTCGGGGGTTGTCTGAGCGGGTGCCGCTTACTCATTCTGAGGTGAAGGTCACCTCAGGATGAAACTCGGGGGGTTGGTCGTGCCAAAGGCTGTAGGAGCCTCCTTGATTGTTACAAAGTTCCGTCCTCGACCTTGTGAATGTCCTGCCCCATAGTCAGTGCTGCAGATAAGTGACTGAAACTTTTACTAAGGATTATGTTGAAAATTCCATTGATATCAGTTTGGGCCCTGAGGAAAGACCTCTTCCTCTTTCTCTGTGCTCCTGCCCCAAGCCCTGCCTTGCCTCTGTTTGTCCCTCACTCAGCTCTGTCACCAGGCAGTGTGGCTTTCCTCCAAGCCTCACCAAAGTGCCATGGCATCACTCCCTGATGTGGGGTCTGATGCCACCATCTCTCCTACCTGACCTTTGCAGAGGGAACTGGGATGAGCACTGGGGATCCACTGGGGAGTAAGTTCATGTTATCCATCCTTCAGTTAAGCAGACATAATTAAAATGCTGACAGTTCTTGGCTGGCCAAGTTGCCCTAGCATCCTCACATCTGGGCACAGCACTGTGCCCCCGTGCAAACCATGTCTAGCTTTCTTCTTTCACATCTCAGCTCGTTTGGGATTTTGTAATCCACTAAAGAGAACACTTGCCTCATTTTTTATACGGGATGGTGGGCCAAGACCAGAGCAGTCATGAACCCTGGGGCTGGTCCCCTGATCTTTCACAGATTCCCTTGTGTCCTTGCAGCCAGAGCACCTGAAACAATTGGCAGCCCACAGCAGTTCTATGTGGTCCTTGGTCTGTCAGTGAGCTCAGGCTGAGCCATTCTTCCTCTGCAGTAGGTGGGCTCCACTAGCATCAGGCCAGTGGTAACTTCAAGACACTGATCTCTGCACCCAGGACAGACCTCAGGCATTGCCACTGTTTGCTCTTGCAGAAGTTCCAGCAAGAGCTGAAATCTTCCTTTCCCCTTTGGAAATCCCCAAATGATGCTTAAAAATGGTTGCATTATCGAGAGTCAGAGCAGCACGTGGCTGTGGGAGAAGCAGCGTGAGAAAGGAGAGCAGCCAGGCACAGCTGCCAGATTCTGCCTGCCGGGCCCTGGGCGAGTGCTGTGGAAAGGAGGCTGGGATGTCAAAAGCAGAAGCACCAGGCTGCTGGTGTGCCTCCGATTTCTGTGGCCTTTGCCAATCAGCACTGTCACACACAGTGGAGGAATGGCTCCAGTGCAGGAGAGATGAAGGGCTCGCACTTGGCTAAGCTGAATGATTTGGGAGCAGACACTCCTCCTGCCTCACCCCAGAGGGATGTGGGGCAACAGGAGTCTCTTCCAGTCCAGCTGCAGTGGCCAAGCACCAAGAGCCAGCTGAGTATAACGCAGTTTTGAGCAGAGCAGGAGCATTCCACTACTGCAATCCATGCCAGCAACTGTCCTGCTAGCTGTGGTCACACACTCACCTGGAAGGGCAGCCTCTAAGCTCTGGGACTTGGTGCCTGTAGTGGCATCGACTCTCCCAGCTCTCAGTGATGCAGCAAGAGGCCCCACGTCCCCCTCAATGCTCTCGGACGTCGGCCCAGAGGCCCTTCTGGTTCAGGGAAGAGAGGGCATGGTGCGAGACAGAGATGGCAGTGGTATCTTGACTAGGGGGAAGCTGGTGTTTGCTGGCTGCGATGGAGTGAGGCATCCTGGCCCCTGCCACTTCTCTGTTCAGGAGAGGGACAGACTCCTTGAGCCCCCCAGGTCTGGGGTAGCCACACTGCTTGAAGCCTGGTGTGCATCCCCATGGGCTGCCTACATGCCACAGGGCATGCCCCCAGAGGGGATGCTGGTCTCTCTGATCCCACAGTCGTGAGGAAGATGTGACAGTGCAGGGAGAAATAACAGGTAGGGAAACAGGAGACTAGGACAGAGGAGAGATGGTGAGTATGGGGAGAGATGATGGAAATGTGGGAAGATGGTGGGTATTGGGGAGAGGTAATGGGTATGGGGAGAAGTCATAGGTACAGGGGATCAGGGAACTCAGTTCTATTCAAACCCCTGTCCTAGGGTGGAGCAAGTCAGTAGGAAAAGCAGCAACAAACCCTGGGAGTACTGGGTAAGCAGATCTGATACCCTGATGTGGCAAGGAGCATCACCTGAGGCCAGCCATTCCTTCCTCTCGCCCTCCTGACCAACCTTGTCACCCCTCTGGCCCCTGGGAGGTGTTCTGGCTGTTTGAGGGCATCCCGAGTTCTGGCTGAATGTGACAGGGGACCCCAGTGCTGGAACTCGGGCACCCTTAGTGCTGCCTGCCCAGGGGAGGCGGGAGGTCTCAGGAGGTCTCAGCTCAAGAGCTGAGCTCAGCAGTCCGTCCCCAGTGCTGAGCCATGGGCATCCTTCATCTGGCATGTTCTGGGAGGGTGCTGGGGAGATGTGAGGGGACGTTGGGGGATGCTGAGCTGCCTAGCCTGGGTGCTGGCACATCTCTGCAGAGCTTGGCAACCTCCCCGGGTGCGGGTGGGTGACCAGCAGAGGGCTGGCTCTGCCGCTTCCAGCGCTGCTTTTGTTCTGCCCAGAGCTCTCAGAGAGCCCAGAGCAGCGGCCGGAGCCGGACAGACCGGCTGCTTCTCCAGGCTGCTCCCTCGCTGCCCGCAGCCCCGGAGTCCTTGCGCTCGGGGCTGCTCTGTCTCTCGCCACACGCTTTCTCCAGAGGGTGAGGAAGGGACCATGTCTTCTCTGCCATCACTTCTCCTCCTGCTGCTGATGCTGCTGGTGCTGGGGGCTGCGGCAATCCAAGGCAGGGCTGGGCAGCCTGGGGAAGGCAGCACCCACCATGGCCAGGGTGCGGATGGAGGTAGGACTCTGCCCATGGTTTCCTGGCACAGTCCAGAGGTCCAGGTGATGAAGGAGCGACTGCGCCGGGGGACAGAGGAGGACTCCAAGTCGGTGCAGCAGTACGTGCCGGGGATGCGGATGGAGTTTCCACGGCCCCTTAACTCTGCCAGCCTGCACCCAACCAAGGCCCTGCTGCCATCCAGCACAGATCCATCTGAGCAGCAACAAGGGGTCCCCACAGACAGGGAGGGGGCAGACCCCCGAGCTAACCTAACCACCATGTCTGACAAGCGGTTGCAAATCCAGAACCCCTTGTACCCAGTGACGGAGAACTCCTACAGCGCCTATGCCGTGATGTTCTTGTCCCTCATTGTGTTTGCAGTGGGCATCATCGGAAACCTCTCCGTGATGTGCATCGTGTGGCACAACTACTACATGAAGAGTGCCTGGAACTCCATTCTGGCCAGCCTGGCTTTCTGGGACTTCCTCATCCTCTTCTTCTGCCTGCCTGTGGTCATCTTCAATGAGATCACCAAGAAGAGGCTGCTGGGGGACGTGTCCTGTCGCATCGTGCCCTTCATGGAGGTAAGGGGCTGGCTGCACAGGGCCCTGAAGGGCTCAAGGGCTTGGCTCCTCTCTGCCTTCTTACTTGGGGGGCAGTTCATGCTGCCCATGGCCTGGCGCAAGGACAGTCCCAATATTGTCTTTCCCTTTGCCTCTGCCCTGGGCCATTCCTCAGGCTCTGCAGCCAGCACCAATGCTGCCAGGGCTGGGAAGAGCTCATGAAACCCTCCTTTGTCCAGCCAGCACAGGGACTTCTGCCCATGGGATCCCTCTGTCTATCCCTGTCCCATCCCAACACCTCCCAGCCCATCGGCTCAGCACCACAGTGTGCTGACCCAGCACT